CATGGTCGGATTTATATTAGACTATTTTCCATAGTTACAGACAGACTTTAACATTATTTATCAACAATTTTGCTACAGAATATTTTCTACAGTTTCCAGATAACATAATTTAGTTTTGTTCACATTGAGTGAGAACTCATTTCTATCTGTTTAGTACTTTTACAATTATGACTGAAGGGTTTTGTTTTTAAATGAGCTCCTGTGAGTTTCCCTCTGTGGATAAATAAAGTGTTTATCTAAATACCTGCCTGTGTATGTGCAGTATTGTCTTCTTCTCTGTCATCTTCTCTGCAGTCTTTGCAATAACACAGAAAACAGCTACACTGACATGAACGTCTTACATCTTAATTCTGCTGCGAACACAAAAGATTATTCTGATTCATCATCTCCAAATTCCAGATAAATAATCACTGGCATGAATTTAGAGTCATTTCTACAAAGAATAAGGAACCTTTGCTTTCGGTGGTTCACCCAGGTTCCTGCTTTTTTGGGAAAAGGGGATCCAGCTACTACACAGAGGGTCACCAGTGATTCGTGTTAATCGTACAGAGCTGAGGGGATTTAAGGAGTGATGGTTGAAGTAAATGTAGATTTTCTATTATCAGCAGTGTCGGAAGGATAAATCAATAATAATAAACCTTTACAGCAGTTTGTCCATGTTTACCTGACACCGCTTTAAAGTCTTTTACAGCAGACTCTTCTCTTCACAGCTTCATTATACAAACTGTTATGTAAATGTGTGTGAGTACATTTAAAAACTAACATCCACTTTCTCACATGACAGAAGAGTTTTGTTGACAGGAGACCTGCGTCCTCTCTGTGAGCAGCCCAACCTAAAGCAGCTCTAACATCTAACAGCATGTAGGAAATCAATCGATAGGATTTAAAATCAAACTCACCTGCACAGGTAAAGCCCACGACGGAGACAGACAGTAAAGTCCAGCAGAGCCACGGAGATGTTACAGCAAACATGTTTCATGAAGCACAGTCAAAGTGCACGATTCCCATTATATGGATTGTTAGTGAGGTTACTAACCTCAGGTCTATCTTCTAAAACCTTTACCACGCCCATTCTTGTTTTTGGATAAAGATGCTGTCAATCATTTGTGCCGCTGACACTGGTTGTGCCAACCGGGGGGAGGAGTTCTGTTGCTTCACCCTCAGTACCTCGCTTGTAATTGGAGAAGGGAACTTTTGCGTTATCCCGGTTGGCACAGACAGTGTCAATGCTTGGGAGCAGGGGCGGATAAAAGTAATTAATGCACAAGCATAAATAATGGCGATGACTTCATAAAGTAGGTCCACAGCAGGAGGATAGTGATCCAGGGAGCCACTGGTGTTTAGATATTTGTGTCAGGAAATCAAAGGAGTTTCTTAAAATGTGTGCACAGTTCTTTGTAATTTGATGCAGACCTATCAATAATCATATTGGTTGATTTTGCTGTTAAATGTCTCCATAGATTTCTCCTCACAGATTGATAGTAATCGATCTCAATATTCACATAGAGGAGCTTTGATAAATGCAGGATCACAAAAATAAATAAATATAAGGGAAATTAGAGACAACTGGAATGGCATGGGATTTCACACATGAACAAAGATGAGGTCACAATCAACCCGGACGCATCGGGAGACAGAGGTAACAGCGTTTCTTCTAGTTATACTCAATGACTGTCTTCCTGACTACTGAAGCAACATCTGCCAGACTCTGGCTAGTTCTACAATTATAGGACATGTCTATATATATTATTGTTTAGTATTTTTTTACCAACAGATATTAGCGGGCATTTGTTTCTCTCTCCTTGTATTGACACTGGGAGTCAAATTATAGTTTTAAAATAGCGATTTTTTTCCTGAATTAACAGAGTTTCTTAAACTCACAGCACAGGTAACAGGTTAAAAAAAATTCAAGGTTTCATTTGGTAC